TCTCAGTAAAAAAACTATTGCGATGCGATAGATGTCGAACAACCTAAAAAATTCGTATGATTTCGATATCATCACATACGACACATTCCGTTTTATGCTCTTTGACAACTCGGTTTTTATTTCACTCGATGACGACGCTTTCTATCATTTCGCAGAAAGAGAATTTTTAAAGTGCACTATGGAACAATCAACTCTAAATTAGCTACATTCACTGAGCAATGCGTTGCGATTGCCAACGAGAACCCGAAAAACATAAGTCTCGATATTATCATCAATGGCACATGGTGCTCACTACTTTCACTGAAAACTCGGTACATGAAGTCTATGAAAGAGCTGAACAACTAGCACCTCACGGACTTTATAGACAATAGCAAGCAAAGTCTCTGCCAAAATACTAACAGAAAAATTCGACTCAAAATTAATTCAAATCATTTCGGGACAGATATTGCGACACTACTTGAATAGATCACTGCACCAAAAAATAAATTCAATTGTTCTAGCAGAAATTATGAAATGCTGTCCCTATCTAAAACTCAACAGAAGCACCAAGTAAAAGGAAACAAGCTGATCACTAAAAAATTTACTAACGAAGAAACTTGAATCAAAATCAAATCAACACATTTCAGTACAGATAGTACGACAGTACTTGCATGGATCAAGGCATCAGAGCGCCCAAAATCCCGTTGTTTTATAGAAGTCAGGAAATACTAATCGAATCTAAAATCAAAAGACGCACCAGGCAAAAGCAACGAAGATGATCACTTTACTTCTGAAAAAGATTTACTTCTGAAAAAACATGACTCAGACTCAATATAACTTGTGACAGATAGTGCGAAAGTACTTGAATGGACCAATGTACCATAAAAGCAAAAATCCCGTTGTTCTAACAGAAGTAATTAAACACTTTCCTTATCTAAACTTCAACAAAAGCACCAGGCAAGAGAAACCAAGCTGATCGCTAAAAGAGGTATTGAACAATAGAATGTCGAACAACTAGGGTTACAACATCAAAAAATTTCAGTGTCATCGGAAAGCCATTAGCCTCAACAACAACAACAAGACGTCTCAGTTGCACAACAGGTCATCTCAATTACAGATCAGGTGAATTGCTGCTTATCAACGGTACATGAAAAAGAAAAATAGTTCTACTGCTAATAAAGATCCGGGCATTGATGTTTCTAGGTTTTCTGACTGACTTCCTCTACTGCGTGTACCGACTTGTATTCTCGGTTTCAAGGACATTCTTCGACAAAACCCGAATGTCTACTTCACGAGCCGTCTCAACGCGCTAGTTTCCAGATACTATCAAACGACAAGCCACGGATAAAGTATTTGACAACAAATATAAATTACCACCCTATTCATAGATGAAATGCTACCAGTGCGCGAGGTCGACTGAGATATCAACCTATGCCAGATGTGACCAAGTGCCCTATTAATCTTTAATCAAAGGAAACTTCAAAACGACTGATCATCAAACATGCTCATCATTCATGCGTGCAATTAACCACGGAAATTATCAGTAACTACTTGCACCAAAGTTTCAATTCAACTTTAGGGCAAATCAAAATGGCAAGAAAAATCAAATTGGGCTGTTAAAAAATTCTATAATGTCTTCACTACGTTCACAGAATTGAATTTCATACATTAATGAAGGCACAGAATATTCTTAACATCGCTGTTTTTTTGAAATTTTAAAACAATCGAGTGATCAAACTATCGATTAAAAGTAAGAAGGGACTTTTTGTTCAGGTCGTTTTTAGTTTTTTTTTAAGTTTGCAGTCGTCCAAACAATCAGATCGAAACAGCAACCGGCCATTCGCTCGTTGTTACTGAATTTATCAAATTCAAGAGCAGCAAAATTTGGAGAGCAGAACTTGGCTTCATTTTACCAAATCAGTTTGAATTGAACTTTACAGCAAATCAAAACCTCAAAAAGAATCAAATTTGGATGTTGAAAACAGAAATTCAACACAACCTTTATAGTGTATTCACTACGTTTATTGAATTAACACTCAGAACCTAATGAAAAGAATACAATAATCTTAATATCGCTGTTTTTTTTTTGAAATTTCAAAACAATCGATTGATCAAATTATCGATTAGAAGTATTAAGGGACTTTTTGTTCGGGTCGGTTTCAGATATCTTTCGTTTGCATTCCAAGCAAAATCATATCGTTATAGCAACATGCCATTCTTTTTTATCACTGAAATCATTAAATCCAGGAAAAGCAGAATTTGGCGGGTTCTATTCTTATGGCAGATTTGCAGGCTGATACACAAATTTTACCCAACAAAAATATAGATTATTTTATCATAAATTTAGACATATTTCTTCCTAAGTGTTGATTTATTAAATCTGGTTGACTAAAAAACGTTCTTCTTTTACACACTTTGAGTTATTTTGGTAGGCTTTCTGTGATTCCCGTAATTCTTTTTTTTAGTAGGCTCTATGTGATTACCGCAATTAATGTTTTTTGGTTCCGCTCAGAATTCATGAAATTGAAATCTTTTGAAATTCGAAGTCATTTACTTTTTTGTGGCCTGTTGATTTCTGCTGTTTGGTGGTGAAGTTTGCCTTAATGACAAATTATCAACCAATCCGCGAACATCAAATTTAAGAGTTAACCAAATTAGAGGAAAAAAAATCATCAAGACCTATATTGAAAGAAGTGAAAGTTATTTCGTTCTCTCACAATTAAAATTTTCACCAAAAACTCGCATAAAAACTTCAATTATCCGCAAAATTCAGAAATTGCATTAATGTACCGATAAAAGAACACAAAAAAGGAGTCCAAAATAGTAGGAATTGCTCGAATTAGAGAAAGTTCCTTTCTCTAGAAAAGCTAAGTGACAGTAAAGAGGAGTAACCAAAATTAAAAACAAACAGTAAAAAAATGACCATAAAATGTAAAAAATAAAGCAAAAAAACCATGAAAGTTCAAAAAAGGGCCAAGGGCTTCATTAACATTTCATATTCAAGTTTGAGCTGAAAGAAACAACATGAGTATAAATACTGATTTTATCAAAACAGTTTTTTTTAATATAATTTTGAGACAGAAGGCCCCAATCTTCCCTATTCTGTTACTTAGAGGAAAAAGAAAGAAAAAATTTTTCCGCAGCTTTTTAAGCTTAATTATTTGTATAAGCAGAAACATACAAAAAAAGTTGCAACAACTCGCAGAAAAAAAACAATCCCGAAAAGACCCAACAGTTGAAGCAGTCGCAAGAACAAGGAAACCGAAACAAAAAGACATGTCCACAAAACACTTTGTACACAGAGGCGAGGCTGAGCTTAGAACCACTTGCGATACATCACACTCGTAGCATGGCAAACTAGCCGACAGAAGCTGCTCAATGAAAACTCGAAATTTAATAAAGCTTTTCATGTTTGTCTCGGTAATATTGAACCGTTTGATTAAAAAACTATCAAGACAATTGAAACTGAATATAGAGTCAGCATCTGAAAAAATCTTACCAAGCGGTAATAAATAAGACAAAACTTGAGCAGACACCCATAACGCCGAAATTTTTTTTAGAACATAGCTCTTAATTAAAACAGACATAACTTTTTAAGGTCATAACTAGCAATATAAGGCCACTGAGTCGATAGAAGAAAAGCCGAAACAGTTTAAGTCGAAAAAATAAGAGCCTGAATCCAGCCTTTGACCACGTGATTAGGAGTCTAACGTCCTTTATGCTTGCGCCACGGTCGCTTGAATTTATTCAGCCTCACGCTGAGCTTCACACCACTTGCGATACAAATATGATTAAAATCAAACGAAAAAATTGAAACAATCGTTTTGTCAAAAAAAAAGCGCCGGATGGTTGATTGAATTTGAATTTATAATTAACAAGCGGTAACAAAGCTGAAAAAACCTGAGCAGAAACGTTTCATGCGAAAAAAACATCAAAAAATTCTAAACTAAAAAACGTTTAAAAAAATATGTCCCTTTCCCCTAAGAGCAAACGCGTGCACACAAAAAAAATTAGTTGCTTTTACAAAATTGCCTCTTGATGTAATTATTGGTTTGGTTATTACGCGATGTGTAAGATTCCAATTGAATATTTATATGCTTTTGTACATGTTGATTAATTTAAGTTTTTTATGAACTAAAAAAAAAAAAAAAAATTACCGATCCACAACCACGTAGAAATGGGCCTCTAGATTGATATAAATTAAGCCGAAAAATATTAACCCGATAAAAAGACAAAAAAAATGACAAACCGAATTCGTTAAATTACAACCAGCATTAAAAATAACTTTCGATTCGGCCGGATTTTAACACTCAAAGCAACTACAGTAAAAATTGATAACAGTAAAAAAAATATATTCTTAGATGTGGCAACTAAGCCTGCAAAACATCAGCAGATAAATAATAGGCCGGCATTTTTTGAGCCCGAATATGCTAATAAATTACCGGGGCTTAAAAATATACCATAAAACCCGACAAATGATTACTTTTATTTGCGAGTTGCGTAGGAAAAAAAATATAAGACAACGGTCGCTGGCCCGCCTGTGTAAAAAAACTGAAATAGAATTAAGCCAGTCAGGTTAAAAAATTTCCGAAACAGATAGAAAAAAATTGAACATGTAAAAGATGTATTTTTAGAGAGTTCATGACAGATCATCTTGTTAAACTTTGGATGACGCTAGCAAAGTACAAGCATTGTTTTCATTTTCCATTATACACAAATGATTTCAGTTTTTCCTGATATGCGAGAGGATAAAACTGTGGATGACGCTAGCAGTGCACAAGCATTATATTCATTTTACGTCTGAAAGAAGATCCTTTGTACATAATGCCATCAATGAAAATAAGCTCTAGCGACATTTAAGCATCATTAAAGCCAGTATCAGCTTTTAAAAAAAGCTAAATTACCTTGTTCATTAATTCTCTTATATCATAAATCGCTTTGACTGAGGAAGAAAACCGTTAAAAACAAAGCACGCGACCAAAGTACGTAACCTCAAGAGAATCATCTTTCAATCAAAACAGTTCAACTTCATTTCTCATTTTCTTTGAAACAAAAAGAAATAATCATAAGCACAGAAACAGAATATCAAATCAAATAAAAAGAACTATATTGTTTTCTATAATCACTATAAGACAAAGTGAGTGATTCGTGAAAGTATACAAATCTCAAAGCCTCCCTTTATAATCAGTAGGGCCTCGGTCGCCTATCCCCTCCTCCTCCGTGGCCATGATGCATCCCTCCCCTTGGACCTCCTCCCGGACCGGGGGGAATAGATATTGCCACGTCGATGTAATCGCCAATTGTGAACTTCGCACTTGCCAAAGATATATTGTCATCTAGACCTTTCTTTCCAGTACATGTTGTGCCTGAAACAAAATCAATTTAAATGTATTGCATGCTCAACAAAACAAAAAAACATAAACAAAAAGATACGGATTTACAGTTTTTGGGCTCTTTTACTGTTTCCAAAGCCATGTGGCGGTCATATATAACCTCCATCAATGGCAGGCGTGGAAAATTCTTTTTTATTGGTGGTGCGGAGACGGTAAAAGAGCCTCTTTTTCCTCAAAATATAGTTTCCTATACAGTTAGTAAAAATATAAACTACTGAAATGACAGATGACATGCCTAGGTCCTTCATTCTGTAGATGGGTTTTCTCTGGTCCGGGTAGACTACTCTGAAGGAGAAGAAGGTGCCTCTCTTTCTGGCGTCGTGGTTCACTTCTTTGATCAAACTAGAGAGCTCTTTCAGAGTGGCGTCCATCCACGTGTAGATCTTCAGCTCCACTGGAGGTGTGTTTCCTGTCAATTGTATGTACTATGCTGATATTCAGAATATTCAAATGTCGATGTTTCGAACCGGTGCAAAATTTTACAACCACATCAAGGGCCAAAATTTGGTTACAAACATGATGAAAAAAAGACACTTAAATAATTCTGTGCTGATGTAAAAACGTTCAACATGTATGATTAGTTTTGATTTTTCCTAAGAAGAGATTAGGAACAAAAGTATGTCGATAAGCGTCATTTTCTGGTCCTCAAGATCGTATACTTTTTGGGAAACAGACCCCGCTGCACTAGGAGCCCAGCTAAGGCCGGATATGCATGTTTGATGTATCTTAAAATACACATTTCATCGCGCATCTAAGATTCCCATAGCCTGTTTTTTTTTCGAATGAGCTGTAAATCTCAGACTTGCCACAAGCGTTATCGAGAGAGAAGAAATTTGCAAAAATGAACTTCAAAAATTGAAATTTTTCGAGGACATAGCATATTTTCTGACAAAAAAAATAAGGGAGTCGCCGTTTCTGCCGGAAAAATTTTCACGACCGGTTCCTTCAATTGAATCCTTACAGCTTAGATTTGGTACGTAAATTACAAAAAAAGTCAAAAATAATCAAATTTGACTTTTACGAAGGCTATATTTTTTTTTTCTAGAAAAAAGGCGTGCGTGCCCCATTATGCAACGAAGAAGCCCAAAACCTGTTGTTTTGATTGATCTGAGAATTGGCATGGTCGTTTTCAAGAAAATTCGAAAAGTCTCCGAAACATGGTCAAAGGCTGAAAACTTGACAACTCTGAGCCATAACTTCACAATTTTGGCTTTTCTGAGGGCCACAACTTTGTGTGTAGGCCAGGAGCGCTTAACACAACACATTTTTAGAGAACCCAAAAACTGAGATTTTCCAAAGGCCATTACTTTTGGTGTAAAAAATGGGCAAAACTGCTACTGCGAGTGAACATCCCAAAATCCGTCCGTTTGATTGAAACCAAAATCTGAGATTTGGGAGGGTACTTTTTGATCGCAAGTTTCCAAAACGATCACGGCAATAATCAAAGTTGAATTTTACTCCACAAAATGACCAAATTTGACTAAATATTTTTCTAAGGGCGTAAACATTATGTAGCGAAGAAGCTCCAGACCACTTTTCGTGATTGAAAAATAAATATGGGAAATGGAAGGATCGTTTTCGAGAAAAAATGCCAAAAACGGTCAAAAGTTCAAAAAGACAATTCCGAAGGCCATAGTTTTTTCGAACCAAAATTAGGGGATAACTGCTAAGTAAGGAGAGCTTCCTACAGCCTTTTAGTTTTATTAAACCCAAAATCTGAGATTTGGGAGGTTAGTTTTCGGGGAAAGTCAAAGAAGTTTCGAGAAAAATTTACAAAAATTTGGCTCTTCCGAAGGCTAAAAGTTTTTGCGTGAAATTTGAGATAAAGCGTTTAGGCGGGGGCGAGTTAAACACAGCCCTTTCTTTCTATTGAACCCAAAAACTGAGATTTAAACGAGTAGTTTTTGAGAGAAGTCAAAAAGATTCAAAAAAAGGGTAGAAAAATCGTTGGGCATATCCGCTAGCACAAGTTAACTTCTCAATCTCAGATTTGGGGTAAAGTTTTCGAGAAAATTCAAAAGTTTGAAGAAAAATGATCACAATGATAATGATAATCAAAATTGAATTTTACCCAACAAAAATAATCAAATTTGACTACAACTTACAAAGGTTGTAATGGATTATGTAGCGAAGAAGCCCAAAAGCTGATTTATTGAATCATTTATCAGAGAAATAGCAAAGTAGTCTTGAGAAAAAAAATTTAAAAAAGTGAAAAGTTTGATAACTTTACTATTCTGAAGGCCATATCCTTCTTCAAAAAATTCAAGGAGTAAACGCTGATGCAGAGAAAAATCTAGCAACTCACTTTTTGACTAACGCAAAACCCGAAATCTAAAATTTGAGAGGCTACTCTTTTAGTTTTCGAAAAAAGTCAATGAGTTAAAAAAAACGGTCACAAAATTTTTACTTTCGTGGGCCATAATCTTTTGTGCTAAAATCATTGGGCGTATCCGCTCATGCAGGTGAGCGTCTCGAAACCCATTCTTTCGATTGAGACAAAAATCTCAGAATTGAGAGGGTAGTTTTTGTATATTCAGTAATTTTCAAAAAAAAAAACGTCGAAGCATTGGATTTTCGAGGGACATAACTTGATCTCAGGGTAGCATAAAAATCTGGTGTATATTCTCAATTGATTTAAATCCAATTTTTATTGTTTTTCCTTGATTTTTATTGAAAACGCTTTTGTTTCAAGAATCAATTAATTCAAGTGAAATTACTGATTCAGCACTCGAAAGCAGAACACAAGTTTCCCACATTTTTCTATTCCCAGTCGGTTTCTGAAATCAACAAATCCGAAAGTGCTGCAAAAAACTTGGGGTGTAGGCGCTTATGCAGGGGATCTCCTCACAACCTGTTATTTCGATTTAACTCGAAAACTGATATTTGGCACAGTTTTTTGAGAAAATTCAAAAACAGTGAAAAATTTTCGAGGACCATAATTAGCGGCCCAGCTAACGCTTGAGGAACCAGTTTGATATTTTTTGAACAAATTTGGGCGTAGTTGCTTATGCGAGGGAATTTCTCACAACTCGTTATCTCTATTGAACCCCATAACCTTAGATTTGTGAGGGTAGTTTTCGAGGAAAAAAAGTTTCAAGGAACGGTAAAAAACTTGACTTTTCCGAGAACCATAATTTTTTCTCTAAAAACAATTGGACGTCTTTGCCATTGCAGAAGAGCCTCCTACAAACCGTTCTTTAGATTGAGCAGGGTATTTTTCGAAAAAAACGTCTATGTGGACCCATATTTTTGTATTTTTTTTTCCGAAAAATACCCTGCTCAAACAATATCCACATATACATTTTCGAAGGCTGTACACAAGGGGGGTAAGGTGACAAGAGATCAAAACATTATGCAGGCACAAGGGGAGTAAGCGATAATTCTATTAGTACCACTTGTTCGAAAATTGGCCGAGTAATTTTTGCTCTAAAGTGGTTAAAATTTCCAAAGCGTAAAAAAACACAATCAAACCCCATAAAATTTTCATCAAACCTGTTTATATTAAATAAGAATTGAAGGCTTCGATAATTTACTTCGCCTTCTCATTAATTTATTTCGCTTTGCTTTTGAAATATCAATGTCGCTCTTAAATGTTGGCTGTTTATAGACCTTTTTCGAACTCGTCTAGTCTGTTGTGTCTGTGGTAAGAAGTGAACACTCGCAACAACAAGGGACACGTCTTTTCTCTATCCACTGTCTTGTCTCCGCTTCCCACTGCAACAACCCCTCCGTCCTCCCCTGCACCACTAGTATCCAATGCAGAAGCCATAACTACTGATAATATCTGAAATGAAAATATACACAATCACTTACCCATCTTGACTATCTAGTAATAATATGCCAGAAACTTTTTCAATGGCAGAGAAACTATACAATTAACTTTGAATTCATCCCAGAAAGAGTCCATGAAATGAAATTAAATCTATTCAAATTATTGTAGCACTAATTTTGGCTGAGAACAAATTAAACATTTAACCTACTTCAGCAACGCAGAACATAACAAAAACTATTTATAACATACCCTTAGACATTTGGAAAAGCGTCAATGATCTCAAAGAGACCGAATGAATTGTTTGAACTTCTAGTGTTAAAGAAAAGAAAATGAACAATTTAATTTGTTTATAAGTAAAAAACAATTATCCAAAAAAAATCTTGGAACATCAAAAAGTCCAGAACACTAAAATAATTACTTCTCCGCTGGAAATTCCGAAAATTGAAGTTCTACTGAAACTAAAAGTAATTCACTTTTTAAAATATTTGCTAAATAAAAAACAAATTACGATCTCCACTTACGGAAATGCAAATAAATTTGAACCGTTAAATTGCAACCGCTTTATTAGCAACCGTTAAATTGAACTCAATCATTCGACATTATTGACGTTTTTCCAGCAAAGTCTGATCGAAAGAAGAACAGGTATGATAGTTGGGTTCCTAGAAAATAATGGAAAATGGATCCCACTACTTTCAAAAGCGTTCAGGAACACACGCTTACATATCCACGTGCTGTTTCCTTCAAGAATTCAAATATATCATTTCAATAGGTGGGATCCAACTACCATATATGCAGCAAGAAAAATACAATTGTAAACTCTGTAGTGATGTTTGTTAGCACACGAACGCGTGACTGCATAATTGAGTTGCGGAGGGTCTTTTCTTCGGATCACATTGTACACACTTCTCTATGAAATCAACACAGTCATGTGTGATGCCTCTTCGAGGATCTGAAAAAAGAAACAAACAGTAGCATCCAATATAGCCAACAGACCCTTGAAAAAGAGTCAATGAACGAAAAAAACAGACATGACTTTAAAATACTTACTTGATTCTTCAACATGCCAACTTCAACACAGAGGCGAAGCCGAGCTTCGCATCACTTGCCATACAACACAATCATAAGACAGCATTAGTAAAAAAAAAAGAAAAATGAAAAAAAAAAATAGGTGAACCAAAAATTTCGTATGTCTCGATGAAGGACACTTAGGGCTCCGCTAAAGCTGGAGGAAAGTATTTGATATTTTTGGATTTGTTAGACTGATACCGGAAGAAATGCGTAACTTCAAAAATTAGACTGCACAAAACCTTATTTGTTTCTCAACTAAAATAAGTGGGAAGAGTGAAAACTTTAAAGATGTTGGACCTAGCCTTTCTCTTACAAAAAGTAAGGAGTGGCCGCTTCTGCAGGAAAAACTCGCGCAACCGCTTCTTTCGATTGAACATTTCATCTCAGATTTGACACTTGCATTTGGGATGCAATTTTTAAAAATGTTATGTGCAAAAAAACTGGGCATAACCATTTATATCTGGGGGCTTTTCAAATGCGTTCTAATCATTGAAAGCAATAAACCAGATTTGGTAAGTTAGTATTTGAGAAAACGAAAAAACAAAATATCGGTCAAATATTCCCCAGCAGACCTTTTCGAAGAGCCGGAAAAAAAACGCACTACTTAAAATAAACTTATAAAAAGATTTTTAAAAGTTTCAAGTCCCCCTAAAACTACCCTGTAGTAACTAGTACTCAACCAGTAAGTAAATTTGAAAATTCATGAAATTTAACATGTCAGGTGAAGAGCATTGAACATGTCAAGTGATTCTCAACTGATTATGTTAAGCTAGTTGTTTACTAGAAAAAAAACTCTACATTCCGATTTTACAACGCTTGCTATTCGCGAGCGTAAAGAACAAATGTGACCTTAATATGATCTTATTATGATCGTTTATATGATCTTAAAGCTCTTTTAGTTTCAGGAACAATTTCTGGTCGACGCTTCTTTGATGAAATTAACCCAATTTGAGAAAACTGGACCAAAATAAATCTTTTATTCTGCTGGGAAATCTAAAAACTAAAAACCACTTTAAAAATTAGATATCGATTACGTTTTTTGTGACTTTTAAACTTTTGCTTTTCGATGGTGGAGTTTGCCTTCCTTTTAACAAAGAAATCAACTGAAGGGTAAGAAACCAGATGTCAAACCACGAAAACGTAAATTTGAATCTGACCCAATGTGTAGTCTTTTCCTGCAAAATGAAACAAAAAATCATCGCGACCTATACAAGAGGCTGAATTACGTTCATCGAGTTTTAATCAAAAGTCAAATCGCGAAAAAGCCAAATTGAGCGTGAATAAGTTTTTACGAATTTTCCTGCAAAATAATTTAAAAAACGACCGATATAAGAGTTTCACTACGTTCATTGACTCTTAAAAAAAGCATAAAATAAGCAAGAATTAAAAATTGACTATTCAAATTTTACTATAAAAAATAGTCTAGTAAAGGCACAAGTGTAATCCGTTTCAGTTAAAAAAAAACGACTGATCATTTCGCATCGAGGGCACTTTTTATGTTGTTCTTGTCAAACCGTAAATGTGGCGTTGAGAACGCGAACGCCCCTTTCTGACAGTAATGAGTAGAACCCGTTCTAGTGCTGCAGTTTTTCGTATACTGCTACCTCAGCCTACCGATTCAAATGTGCTACCAAAAGTAGCAATTTTATTTGCGAGTTAGGTTGAACAAAAAGAGAAAGTTCGTACTAATACACTTTGCTTAGCAAGTGTATCACTACTATAATTGACTCCTAAGCTAAAAACGACTAATCATTTCGCAAGTATCGATGATTTCTTATCGCGAATTGAGTTTATGTTAAGGGCATTAATTAGACATTTGATTCTAAAAACTTCCACTGCTTAAAATGTTAAGGCACGATTGACCACTCTTGACGGTTTGCAAAATTCAGCATTTTCTTGTGGAAAACGGTTAGAAAAATTGAAAAGTTTAACTTACCAGGTTGCGGCAGGCGAACTTCTCTAGTTTGGTACAGTTGCATTGCGAACATAGTACTCGCATCACAACCTAGATTCCACTCTTCGGCTTCTTCTTCTGGAGACAAAACACGACCGAGTGCCAGGAAGCGAAGTGGGTTCGATTCGTTGCAAAACACTTGCAACACTGTACAACCCAAGCTCCAAATGTCACATTTTGTCGAGGCTTCTTTACTATTTACGAAGAGCTCAAGTGCGAAGAAACCAGGTGTTCCATAACCGACAGGCGTACGGCCATCTTTGACAGTCAGACCGAAGTCTCCAAGCTTCGCTAAGTAATAATTATGTTCATTCCCAATCACTTCTTTCAGGAAAATGTTTTCCGCTTTTATATCCATGTGAATTACGTCTCTGGAATGAATATATTTTAAAGCTTGCACAATTTGTTTGAAAATAATTCTAAAATCCATCGGCGAAAAAGTGTTCTCGTGGTGTCTTGTTTTTGCAAGCGTCTTCAGAGACTGCTCAAACAACTCCATACAAATATAAACATGACCTGGACTAATGGCCACACCATAGAAAGTTACTACATGTTCGCAACTTTTAAGCTTCATCAAATTCTCAACTTCTGTTATACTATTTTCAAACTCAGTTTGCGTATGTGTTGGTAGCTCTTGAATGTACTCTTTTACTTTTCTCTTTTCAATGGGTTCTGTTACCTCTTTCGTGCGATCGAAACAAACGTCCTTCACCGCCATTGAAACATCGCTCCCTTTTTTGATAGCCTCGCTCACTCTATTCAAACTCTTGGGAAGATAACGCCCTGTTTTGAACTCAAAGTTAACGTAGATTCCTAATATTCTAGCAGATAGATTCTTCGTCGGCTTATTCACTTCTCGGCCAGTGGTTGCCGCACATTTCAGTTTAAGCTGCTCTTCCAACTGGTTGATTTTGATCTTAATGTTCGCATTTCGTTCCTCTCGATTCTTCGCCATTTTGCTCATTACAGGTCGAATAATTCCAGACCGGTCTACAAAAAAAAACTAACAAATATGAAAAAATATCTCGGAATCAAAGGAACAATCTAAGAAAATTTTCATTTCGCGATTAACTTGTGGATATCACGCAAAAAAAAAAACTTTTTCGACAAAACCGAATGAAAGCAGTAATTTGGCTGAATAACAGTGAAAACATACAACTGAATATAGAACATTTCGAAAAACGGAATAAATGCAGATCAAAGTAACATCCTGTCAGAATACTGTGGCGTATATTAATTTGAATTTTCAGCTAACCTCAATCGACTACTTTGCTTACCAACAGAGCTAAGCAACTTTAATCGATTTTGTGATGAATATATTTTCTTAGTCTAATTTGAAAGAAAAAGCCAAACTCATCGTGAAGAGGCACTGAAACATCAAACTTTTACTAGCGCCGCATTGCTTCAAACATCTAATAGCCGAAACAATCAAAGACAACGGGCTACAAAGCATTACTGAAATTAAGGCAAATGTAAAGAAAAAACTTTGAGTGGATCTTAGTTAACTATCCCCCCCCCCTCTTATGGTACCTTGTAACGAATACCCCCCGCCCCCTATAAAGAAAGAATTGAACAGTTAAGCATATACGAATTTTGCACCTTGTCAACTATTTACCCCTCTATTGCAATTGATTACACAGAAGCGAAGCAAATACTAGGCAAAATTGACACCCAAACAAACAACAGACACCGAAAAACAATTGTTAAAAATTTTGGAAAATTCAAATTTAAAAACATCAGGTTGATGTTCTTTGAATTTCAAATAGTGTTGATGACTGGCACTTTTTCCTTTAAGTTATCCCATTTAGAAAAAAAAATAACACAAGGCAATCACACTTTTCGGGAGTTTTTCACATTTGCTGTTCGATAGTGGAGTTTACCTTCATTTAACGAAGGAAATCAGGTGAATTTAAAAAGAAATAGCGAGAAATCTAAATTGAACGTGAACTAACTTTAAGACTTCCTGAAAAAAACCCTATGTAAGATACTTTCTTTCCTGAAGAAAAAAAAACAAACAAAAAATCACCAAGCTTCAATATGTGATAATAAATTCGTTTTGCTACGCTTAAAAATGACAACAGAAACGGCAAAACTATAACCTAAAGTAAAAATCAACTTCAAAATACAAAAACTTCTGAAACAACGTTATTCAAAATTGCACCTACCAACCATGAGTAATTTGCCTTAGCGTCTTCGTCATTGTGTCTTAGATTATATTACTTTCACTCATACTTTTTCTTAGAAGTCAGGGCGCAAATAATGCGCGTTACTAAAACAAATATAGATAATAGCAAGGGCGGGGGTTGAGAAATTAGACGATAAGCAAATTAGATGGAGGCACCTAAAAGGAAACTAGACGTTTAGCAATACTGCAATTGTGAGAAAATAGACGAAAGTAAGAGAGATTAAAATTGTTTGCGGACAAATTGCGCGAGAAAAACAAAATTGTTTGCAGACAACTGCTAAATTTCGGCGGCCAAAAATTTTACATGTCAATTATGCATAATTTATTCAATTCAAAACTCTCCTGCAATATTCGGATTTGACATTTTATGTTCATTCAAATTAATTGTTGTGATATGTATTGTCATTTTATGTTCTTTTTGTATTTGTGAAACTTGACTCTTAGGAAAAAATTTTGTTGGCCCTTTCTTTTTCATAGCATTGACGTCTAAAATGCCGGATCTGTAGTAAAATTTCCGTCTAATTTCGTTTTTTTTTAGCATCCGTCTACTTTGCTTATCGTCTAATTTCCTAGGCCCCAGCTAGGGCATGTTGTTTAAGTAACTCAGTACGAAAACTTAGCTTGTAGACGTATTCTATAGGGCCTCGGAAATTAGACGAAAAGCTAATTAGACGTGACCAACAAAAACGAATTTAGACGTCGATGCAAAATTACAAATATGGGAAATTAGACGTAACTGTATTTTTCGTGTCTGTATCTTGTTTACTGACTAAAATTAACTTTCTTTTGAGCTTTCTTGAATGCAAATCAACTTTTCACATGCCTCAATTTTCACATCCCGCAATTTTTACATGCCGCAATTGTATAATTTATGCATTTCAAAAATGTTTTATAATATTGAGATGAACCTTTTATAAATCAATTGTGATGAATATTTTGATATGCAACGGGATTAAATACTATTTTTCTAATTATAAAAACTTGTTTTAAGCAAAAAGTTTTGTTAGCCCTTTGTTTTCCGTCTAAAATATTACTTCTAAAATATTACAGCCAGCAGACAGTTGGAAGAGTGTCATGTCAATGATCGCAAGAAATTGAGAAAAAAAATTGACATTTTTGAAAACAAAATGATCAACATTTGAGTTTCAAAGAAAAAAAATGTCGTTGAAGCTCTATTAAAATTTCAACATATTAATGAAACTTTTTTTCTTAAAATTTAACCAAATTGGGAACACTTCCAATACAAAGCAAGCGTAGCATTGCAAGCTAGCGAATAGAAAAAAGACGGAAATAACTAAGTCGGAAAAAATATTTGAAAAAATAGTCTTTTTTTGGAAAAATGGAAAATTCACTGGCTTGTTTTTAGGAAAACTTCAACCATCGAAATTCAAAGAAAAAATATAGGGCTTTAAAGCTCTTTGAATTTCAGATTTCGAAAAATCAAATTTTAGCGTGAACAAATTTAAGACTTTTCCTGAAAAAAAAACACCTTTATAAGAGTCTTCCTAACGCTCATCGACTCTTAAAACGCATGATTAAAATTTGTTAAGAATGAGTTCCGTAAAACAAAAACTAAAACTTGAATGCACTAATTAGGACTTAAATCACTTCATTCATTGATACAAAAAGTAAACATTTTGCTAACCTTCTTCTGAAGATGAACTCCAATAATCATCCTCTACATCATTAGACAGCGCGTCGCCATGCTGACTCACCACATTATTATTATCCTCGACAACTGTCATATTCGATGAAGTCATCGCACTAAAACTGTCTAACAAATCAAAATTCTGGCAGCTTTTCGATTGCAAATTGGACATCGACTGAGGCGTAACTGAGTCCGTTGCATCGTACAGGCTTTCATCTGGTGTATTGTGTCCATTGTGGAAGTGGACCCCGCTCTTCGCCACAGATTTCAACTTTCGGGCGTCCCTGCGAGTCCTTTTGTTACTGAACTCGATGCTGCTACTCTTCGAAGGCGTTAGTCTTCCTCGGGACGAGGAATGAGTCTGGGATGGTTGGGATGACTGCTGGATGAAGATGCTGTTGAACATCTTCTTGGCCTCTTCTTTGAAGTTATCTCTTTCGTCACTCGTGAAGAACTGAGCTGAAACACAAAATACAAAAATAAGCTAATTTATGGTATAGCAAAAAAAAACATTTATGACATATTTCGAAATGATAAGCGCGCGATCAGCTACTATGCACAACTCCGACATTCAAACATCTCAACTCAGCTTTGGGCTCTAAAAACAGATACTAAGATGCTCAATTTTTCAATAACAGAGTATTAACAGAAAAATAAACTTTTTTTTTCGCAACAACAGAAAATGGTGATAACTCCTCTCCTTCTTTCTATTTTCAGTTTTTTCGTAGACCCTGAAAACAATCAAATTTTAATCACGGATCTTTTTAACCACTTGGTCAATGAAAAAAGTTCAACGCTTTATGAGAATGTGCGAATTTTGTACCCAGTATCGAATCTCCCTCCCCTCTTTTGCAAAAGGGTGATTATTAAAGATGTCCATTACTCACATATCGATTCACCAGCAACCAGTTTCAAGAACGCAGTCACTACTGAGTTCTGCTTTGATCTCTGCCCCGCTCCCATATTTAGCACACTCATTACATAATGCATCAACACATGAGCCAACTTCAGGCACAGACTACTAAACTTCCTTCTTGGTTCCGAATTTGCACTTTCTGGAATGATGAAGGAGATGTCTCTGGCATACTGCACCGCCATCACCGTTAGAATGTTGAGGTACTTGGCACAGTGGCTGAAAAGAGTGTCTCCCGACTGTTTAGAGTGTTTGTTTAGTGGCGATTTGTGTCTATTTTCATAGCCTTCCATGTACAAGTTCACCTGAAAAAGAACGCTTTATTATCACTTGCTTCATTTCGAACAACAAAAGCAAGCAAAATGCATCAGAAAATATCTTACATCTAACAGCTCATAGCAAATGTAGTAAAAAAAAATTATCTCTCAGCTGATTTTCAATGCATGCAAAACATGTAACTGCAAGAGAAAAAACTAAGAGAATTGAATTTCAACAACTGAAAGATAAACCAGGCCTTCCTCGGGCGTTGTTTTTTGAAATAAATTGAAAGGGTTCAGTTCTTCGTTTCAATCTCAACACAAATTGAAGTCTGTAGGCGTTTGCATAGAATAGAGCTCCTGTAACACACTGCCAATATTTGACAGAAGTACAATATACTGATGTCAATTGAATCAATGGGAAAAATAATTCAAGTTCAATTGGACTTGTTAAAAAATTAAGAAAATGTTTTTTTTTTAATCATGTGAGCCACTTTTGACCTACCTGATAACTTGAGCCACAGGACATGCAAAATGATATTGTAAGCTCCTTTTAATCAGTATAGAGACCCTATTTTAACCAAATATATTCCCCCCCCCCTCCTCCTCAAAAAAGGTATATATTGGAGCCTGAAGCGCCTTTGGAAAAAATTTACGGTCGATCGTCGAAAAATAGAAGTTTTAAAAAAATACCGAAGGAGACCTTTGGGTTGTCAGGGGGTGGAATGCCTGAGGGTGGTGAAGGAGGGGGTGGAATGCCTGAGGGTGGTGAAGGAGGGGGTGGCGTATACTTCTACTTCTAAGTCCGCTACCGAGTTCAACTAACCACTTTAACTGCACTGTCCAGATGATCCACAATCTCCTCTAACAAGCCCAGCACAATCGGTCGATCAAGAACTACCATGGAACCCATATCGTCACATAGGTTCTCCATCGTCCCACTTCCAACACTACTCGCTTCGCCGTCGTCTTCTTCTGCAATCGACTCTCCATTGTCTCTTTCCGATTCGACAACGATTGGCGAGTGATACAACGACTCAAACTCGGCTCTCGTTGACTTATACCTCGGCACTTGTGACGCTTTGACTGCCACTGTTTTGAACTCGGGGATATTCAGAACAGATTCTGCCACAGCGCTTGAAAACGAAACTAAAATCATTTCATCGTCCTCCATTATCTGTTCAGCTCGAGGGATTCCACGCACATGAGCAGATTCGTCATCTTCTTCCAAATTAAATATTTGCCGGCTTTCGCGCCGTTCTTCGGCATTCGCTTCCGGCGTCGGTGATTCTTCGTACTTCAGGGAAGTCAGTTCGGGAAGGAAAGAGTAGAATGGAGGCAATACTGTTAAATTGTGATCACAATTTTGCGGTTTATCGTTTTCAAACAACCTTGTCCATTTGCTGATGTGGTTCGGATTCAGAATTAACAAGTATGCATCTGAGTTTTGAAAATAGACTCTTTCCATAGAGCTTGATTTAGAATCCGTACTATCAGTTCCTGTGGCCGTATCAAATGGGGTTATAGTAGGAGTGTCCACGGTCGAGTAGCCTCCGACATCCGGGGTCGACTTTAAAGTAGAACACAACTTAGCATTCTGACCCAGAAACATTAACGGTTGAGAGTCCAGAGTCGTTGTCAGTGATGGTAAAGCATAATTCAAACGCTGACAACGGTTTCGCACGCAATCAGCTTTCTCACTAGACGAATTACTCCCTCGACTCATCGTGCAATCACCCGAAAGATCTCGATGTTTTCGCTTGATATTCACAATAGCCAACAGCAGATCTTTTAGAACATTCGGCTCATTGGTGAGAAGTCGCTTGTTGACCAGGTAGCACGCAGGTTGATTGTTCACATGAGTCTCAAACTCCGAGGGATTCAAATACTTGTCATGAATTGCAATCAGAGTATGAGTTGATTTAATGCTACAAAAAAACTTTTCCACACTTTGCACTTTAGTCAACGTGCATATTGACAGATCTTCCAGCACTTGTCGAGTGAAACTTGTGACGTTTCTGAGGCAAAGTTGGTACGATTTCAACTGACGATGCAGTCTCATCACTTCATTCCACGATTCCTCCCTGTAGCTTTCCATTTCAACCGTCAGATTAAATTTCTCTTTACTGCACATGAGCTGCCTGGAGATTTGGTCTAGATAGAACTTTATTGCTCTGCGGAACGCATCGACGCTTTCGTGGCATCCTCCTGCTATATAGGGCAGCACTTTACATGTGAATCTCCAATGGTAGATTGCGAAAGACTTGTCGAACAGAAGCAGCCCATCTGCATCATCGTCACAGCTGAAAGAATTTCAATTGGAATCAATTTTCTAATTTCCCTCCCCAATCGTCCCAATCACTGGAAGAATTTGGTAACTAAGCTGGATTATCAACAAAAATATGCAATATAAAACTTTTTAGGATGTTTGAATTATGCTGGTGGCCAAGTAAGCAGTCTCAAACCTAAAAAAGGTGGAAAAAATCACAGTGTAGTTGAGTATGATAATAAGCTATACATTATAAAAAAACAACAGTAAACAAGGATAGCCGGTTACTGTGCAAGTAGCACAGAATGTTCCGACCATAGTCTTTAGAAAACTACGGCTTTTCCAAATTAGTGTAGTTTTTTGGTGTGATAAAAGGCATATTGGACAGGCATAGTAATATAGGGAAATTGGACAAAAGTTGTGGCAGAAGAATGCCTAGAAAAACATTAAAAAATTGAAAAAGGAGGCTAAAAAAACTTTTACTGGCTTAAAAATAAGTTTAAACGTCTTAAATTAGGCATAAGCCTGCTCACTTGCTTTATTCGCTCGAATGAAGACAAAAAAAATCAAAAATTTCAAACCCGTAAAACTTTTTGGAAACTCAATCACGACTGAAATATGATACGGGCTTTAATATGATATATCCCTCAATCCAGTCCGATCATAATTTACGGTATCTGATTTTGCGTGGAAAAAAAGCAAAAAAAAAAACACCCGAATACGAAGTTCCTCCCCATTTTCAATGGTCGGAACAAAAAAGCTGCGAAAAAAACTTTTAATGTTTCCATACTTATTTTCTGTACAAAACCCTTGTCATTTTTATTCCCTTATAGCAAAAATCCTTTTTGTTCCGACCATTGAAAATGAAAAGGAACTTTGTATTCGGGTGTTTTTTTGTTTTTTCCAAACAAAACCAGGTATCACAAAAAATAATTGGAATGGGTCGTGTAAAATATCATATTAAAGCCCTTTCAATCATGATTCGAACAACATTAGAAAAACTCCTCATTTCAAAAAAAAAAATCCTCTTTGTCGAGAAAAACCTATTTAAAATTTTAGATTTTTGGTGTAATTTCGAGCCATTAAAATGAGCGAGCAAGTCTAAATTTGTTGTTTTTTTGTCAGCCAAATCAGTTACCTCAAATAACGCTCCACTTGCGATACATAAAGCCACCAAATTGTGAAAAATTGAAAAAAAACGCCAAAAAACAACACCCAGACTTTGTATAAGTTTGTCTCAAAGGAACGCAATTTGATAAAAACCTGTGACGGAACAGAACAACCAGCATTGAATTAGCATAAAAAGTTACCGAGCGGACAAAATCAGGATAAATGGTCCTGAAAAAACCAGCGCGTTACCGATGCAGACAAAACGCAATAAATTGCCCTAAAAATCCCAACATCAGATTTTTAATACAGAGGCGAAGCGGAGCTTCACACCACTTGCGATACAACACAAACATAAAAAGCCAGAAAATGAAAATTCATGAAAAAACACTAGATCATATTAACTATCATATGTCTCGATAGAATTGCATTCCAGGCAGACAAGCCAGACACTTGAGTTTTAAAACAGCAGCAATGGAACAAAATTTACGAAAGAAACAAGCCGACAATCTTTGAGCAGACACAAGTTGAGCCAAAAAAAACTTATGATTATATCGAAAAAATTAAAGTCCAACCTTAAACAACAATGGACAACACTTGCAACTATAATCAAAGTTGATTACTGCGCAAGATAAATCAGTGATGTGGCAACAAAGCCAACAATCTTTGAGCTGAAAACACCTGAACCGAAAAAAAAAACGATAATTAGATTTTTCTTTTAAACCTCTAAGTCCCCCTTGAAACTAGAATGAACAGCACTTGCACTTGCAACTACAATGAAGGTTGCTTAGAGCAAAAAAAATCAGGTTTGTGAAAACTAAGCCGACAACCTTTGAGCAGACACCAATTGAACCTCGAAAAAAAACATTTTATGAAAATTATTCTAAAATCTTTCTAGTCCCCCTTGAAATTAAAATTAACAACACTTGCACTTGCAACTATAATGAAAATCGTCTACAGCACAAGCAAAATCCGTTGTGTCAATTTAGCCGACAAAATTTGAGCAAACAAACGGAAAACCAGCAATTCAATTTTCTCGGATTTTTTTTTCAATTTCCTTGGTACTGAAAAAAAAGGTCCGGCCACGACTCGAACCCCAGACTTAAGGATACAAAGACAATTGATCTACCAGGCCAAGGGGAAGTAACCTGAAATGTTAACAGAAGAGAACATAAGTGAAAAGAAGTCAGCTTCATAGAAAAGAAGCCTCCTCCTCCTCAGCAAGTGATTCAACTGATTCTATATATAACAAAGTCTATATTCCAGTTTGATAACGCTTGCTTATTGCAAGCATAAAAAGCAGACAATGTTGAAACATTTGAATTTGTCAAAAATTCGTTGTGCCATCAATTTAAATTGATTAGCACGCAAAAAATTTAAAATATCACGCGGAATTAGGACGAAAAGTTGCTCTGAACTAAGTCCAAACAATTTAAGACAAAAAAACTATCCAAAATAAAAAGGCTAGCCAAAAAACGTGTCGCTCATTTCATTTTTTGTCGCTTTAATCAAAATTTGATAGGTAAAAAAAACGAAACACCTATATCACATAAGCCTACCTAAATTTGAATTGTAAATAAAAAAACACTCTACAGAAGGAAGAAAAGCATTAAGTGTACAAGAAACAAATATCGAGCAAAATAAGAGCGAAATATGAATACAACAAATTAAAGGTAATTTGTGATCTGAGAGCACTAAAGGCCTCTTAAAACCGAGTCTCTTGATTAGAGAATTTATCGTTCTACAAAAATATAGAAGCTACAAAGCACTCAAAGCAAAACAAAATCAATTGAGGAAAAAATTGATTGAAAGTTACACTAAGAAAATTGCGAACAAACAAATGACTTGAACTACCTTCGCCGAAAATAGTATGATAAGAACAGCAGACCGACCAAAAAGTATCGAGGAAAAAATCCGAACTCAGCGTTATTGAAAAAAAACACGATAAAAAATTTCAAAAAAAAACTCGACAAAAATTTCGAAAAATTTTTTCAAGATTTTTTCCAACGTTTTTCGAAGAAGTCGCAGAAGCCATTTCACACTTCCAAAAAGACTTGATCAAACTTTAATTAAATTTTAAAAATGACTGTAAGCAAATGAAAAAACACATAGGGCAATCAGCCGACAGAATTAAAGACAACACTTTATGAGCTGAAAAACAGCCGAAATATTTTAAGTTAAAAAATTATTAAAAGATTTGCATATAACTTCTACAATGCAAGCCTTATACAGGCAAAACAAGTAGGCTGCATAAGGTGCATATGTGTAAATTTACCATTTCAAACTTCTTTCTAAATATTTATCATTCTGAAACCATTTACGGGAAAAAAGTCTAGTACCGGGTCAGATACACATCAGATTGAGTGCAGTGATATATCATATTGAAGCCCTTCCAGCTCTGATTCCAGCATGAACAAATTTCAAAACATTGACCCAATTTCGAGAAAAAGCGAGCGAGCAGTTTTATTATAGTAGGATAAGCCGCAAAACTTTTGTTTTAATGCAGTACAATTTTTGAAAGTTTTTTAGCATCGTTTTTGAAAGTTTTTTTTAGCTTCGAATCCAAAACATTTTCTAATAGAAAAGAAAATTAAAAAAATAATGATTTTTTTAAATTATACAAAATTTTTCTGGTCCTTAATTGACAAAAAACGTCGCAAAATTTTCCTATGTTACTGTGACTCGAGTTTATCTAAGTCCTAGGCTTCCGACTGATCCTTTTATCACGCACACAAAAAAAACAACAGAAAATAGATGAGGTCTCTCTCCCCCACGGGTTAAAAAAAGGTCCAAGGTGAGAGCTGGCCCGGGGTTTATAAAAAAAATGACACCATTTTGAAAAAAAAAAGAAAATTTTTGTCGTATTTTTTTAACAAAATGGTCGGAACATTCTGTGCTACTTGCACAGCAACCAGCCATCCTTGTTTACTTTATAAATACCTAAAAAATAACCGTTGTATTTTACCTTAAGCCAAGCTGCAGTTCGCAAACACCGGCAAAACAACCGATTAAAACAGTTAAGTCCCTTTGTTCCAACGGTCATTTTTACCAAAATAAACAATCGATCCAGGAGTACCAAAAATTTTAAACGGTCCCATTTGCGTTTTGAATTAACCAAACCGACAAAAGCCGAGGAAACAAGCATGTTCTAGTAGTGACAGTTTAAGAGATAAGACCTCAATAAGGCCCAATTTTTGAAAGACCAGATTACGTAGGAGTGACATAAAATTCTAAGAAATAAAAAAAAATGAGTTGAAGCAGCCTAAAGGAAAATTATGTAAGACCTCAGCAAAAACAGGCAATTTACTTAATACTTACATTGTTTCGTCTGTATTGGTACCAGAGGGTAAATCAGAAGTAACAAAACGCGAACATTTTTTGTGCGGATTCTGTTTCTATAAAAAAATATCAACACCAAGAAATAGAAATGAAAAAAAAAATGAAGATAGTACTAGCACAGACAACACAGAAAGCAATGAAGAAATTGAACAAAAACTCGAAAAAGTAGATAAAATTGAAGAAAAAATAGGCCACATAGAACCATGAAAATCCCCAAAAACCTACGTATCTCGAAATTTAGTCCAACATTAAGAAGTTAGAAAAAGATCAAGAAAAAGGAGTGAAAAAGTTAGTATCAGGGACCAATCCAGAAAAAAAAACTGACACAGAGCTTGCCAAGGAAAATATTGAGAACATTGAAGTTAAAGATATTGAAATCAAAAACGAAAAGTCACAGTAAATAACACTGGTCTGCAGCTCCTGCTGATGTCATTCAAAAATAGACAAAGTATTCTTCGAAATGCGAAATAAAAGAAAAGCAAGAATAAACACAGATGCGAGAGCACGACCAAAAAGCAGCTCTATCAAGTTAAATAAGAAAAAGTAGAAATAAGCCTCGAATTACCAAAAACCGTGTAGGATTCGAATCTAAGACCTACTGTAATCAAAGATTTTGAGTCTCACACACTATCCACTCAGCCACGAAAGCTGAACAAGCGACAAAAAGTAGTCATGAATAAACCAGCTACATATGCTAATAAATTGCCAATGCCATTCAGCAAAAATGACACCAAAATACAAAAAGACTCAATTTTGCAAGTAATGATTTGAAATATACTAAACTAAAGACATCCACACTAACTTTGCATGTAAAATACCGTAAAGCATAAAGCCGCATTATATATAAATTATGCAATTCAAAAAATGCAAGATATATTGAGTTAGAAAACCTCTGAAATCGAGTTTTCATTATTATTATGTTGTTTGAATCAAATCACTGTTTTCGATTCTTTGATAAACTAACAATGCATCTACTGTGTTAATTTATTACTATTCAAATGTCAAAGCACATGCTATAAAAAAGCTTTAAAGGTGCCCAAAAGTGGCACCAATATTTGCGACTTAGGTTGAAAAAAAAGAAGGTTCGTACTAATACACTCGCTTCGCAAGTGTAAACACAAAGGCGAGGCTTCGCTTCGCAAAGAGTTGCGACAACACAATAAAAAGCGGCTAAATAAGCCTCGAATTAGTAAAAGTTCGGCTACCTCTGAGATTCGAAAGAGCGACCTAGAGATGAAGAGTCTCACACACTAGCCACCACTCAGCCACAGAATCTTTACAGACACCAAAAACTATCACAAAGCAGAGAACAGACGCTATGCAATTTCCAATGCTACAGTGAAACTGCAAAATAAAGGAACACTTTTAATGAGCGTTTTCTTTGCGAGTTAGGTTAGAAAAAAAGAGAAGATTCGTGATAATACACTAAGCTGATCGCAAGTGTAAAGTCGTTTACATTCAACGTGATATGTCTGAAGAAGAATGAGAGATTCAGTATCAACTAAGAACAAGACCTATCAATCCTTTTAAGGAGCAGGAGGGATAAAGACCACATTGCAAGTACACGAGAACTTGATTAAAAAAAGCCTGAGATATTGCTGTTAGTAGAAACGAAGAGCACCTCTGATATATCTCTGAAAACCGACGTGTTTTTCTGCGCAAAGCGAAAAATGCTTTTTTGCGCAAAACGAAAAAAAAAACGGAAGAGGAAGACTATCAGGAGGCTTTACTCTAGGTATAAAACAGGAAATAGCAAATAAACATGAACTGATTGTAAAAAGAACAAATCTTACCAATGCGCTCGTTGAAGACATATTTTATACTAGTGTACTTCAAACGAAACACCACGCTGGATGAAATTTTGCTCACCGTTCTACCCGAAAAAAGAAAGTGAAACGGCGAAGAACTCGTCCTAGCTTTAATTGCCGCCTAGATAAGGGAGATATATGAGATCAATTAGTTGACAACTTATTCTTTCTAACCTTATTTTGCCTCAACTTTGTTCTTTCTCACTTAGTCAAGCAACAATTTAGAGAAATAAATGTAATGCCTGTACAGCGAACTCGCACTTCTGTTTACCTCGATACATTTTCATTGGTCGGCGATGTGGCGAAGGATCCTGAGGCTGAGGAGGCGGATGAGGATCTGCTGGTGAAGTTCTTGTAGAAGTAGCTAGAGTAGTCTGAGAAGGCCTCTCTGAGCAGCATCTCATACTGATATGTCTCCGAAAACAGGTCAGGACGCTGCAACACACAACAAAACACATACGGAGACAAACTTGATGCACACAAAACGCCCGAGAAGAGGATAAATAAATGCTCAGAATCCAACTGAATGTCTAATATTTGAACCAATGGGAGTAACATTAGTAAATTGAGCTCTTGCTGTTTCCGCCCCCCCCCCCCTTAACCTTCGTTACTAGGGAAACTTTAATATTTTGCTACTAGGGAAACTTAGTATTTCGTTACAAGGGAAACTTCAATATTTCGCTACTTAGTCCTTTATCAGGAAGAATTTTTTCACTTGGCACGTAGGGGTACAGTTACAGAGATCCTAAATGCAAACATATGTGCTCTTGGCATAACACTTAACCGTTATTAACACCATATAAACGTTTGTATATGATGTAAAGGGGGAAAAGAAACATAGCCACTAATTCTAACGCACACATCAACATTTACAACAAAGGCAAATGAAAGCAATGAAACTGAAACAAAAACTGACTAATTTTTTTCCCAAAAATCTTCAACTTTTGAATTTCGGAGAAAAAAAATTGATGCCCTTAAAGCTCTTTGAAATTGTAGAACAATTTATGATGGACAATTTTGTAATAAAATCAAACCAATTTGAGAAAACTGGATCAATAGGCAAAACTTTTATTTCACTGGGATATCTGATAATTAATTTCCATTTTCGAAATAAGAGGTCGATCACGTTTTTCGTGACCTTTACATTTTTGATGTTCGATAGTGGATTTTGCCTTCGTTTTAACAATGTAAATGCACTTAACTTAAAAAGAAATCACAAGTCGAACCGCGAAAAATCAAAACTGAGCGTGAACAAATTTTATAACTTTTTTCTGAAAACAAACAAAAAAAAATCACCAAGACCTATATAAGAGCCCTCACAACGTTATCACTCATAACAGAGGCGCAGCATAAAAGAAAGATAAAAAAACTGGAAAAAAATTTTGATGTTGAAAAAGCTTGGTGAACAATAGTTTTCGTATGTCTCGATAACAAACAACTACTGGCCCAGCTAAAGCGGGAGGCACGTGTTTGAAATTGAATGAATTTGCTACTGATGCGGCACGAAAAAAATTGGACTTTGCCAAAATCCTTAGTTGATTCTCTACTAAAATAATAAAGAAGAGTAAGAAACTTAGAGATAATCACTTTTCCCAAGGAGATGAATTTCTCTTACAAAAAATTAAAGAATCGCCACTTCTGCAGATACAATTATCGCACCCCGTTCTTTCAATGGAATTTCTTATCTCAGATTTGTTATGTACAAAATAGGAAAATTCAAAGAGTTTCCAAAGAACGGTCGAAAGTTCTAAAAAACGTTCAACAGACTTTCCAAAATCCATAACATTTTTCTTCAAACAGCAGGTTATGGCCGCTTAAGCAGAGAAGATTTCCAATGCATGGTTTCTCGATTGAATACAACCTGAGAATTGAACCGGTGGTTTTTGCGTAAAGTCAATAAGTTTGCAAAAAAATTTCAGATTCAAAACTTTGACTTATTGAAGGCCATAAATTTATTCTTAAACAAACTGGGCATTTAACAAGAAAGGCCCTTAACAACCTATTCATTCGATTGAGACTATAATATCAGATTTGGCGGGATAGTTAGCGAGAAAATTCCAAAAAACGGTCAGCAAATAAAACTTGACAATTCCGAGAATCATGGATTTTTTGAGAAAAAAAATTATTTAGAAACGTTATGCAGAAGGGATTCACGAAACCTGTGAATCCGGGAGGGTAGTTTTCGCGAAAAGTCAAAAACATTCTTAAAAATCAGTCACAAAATCAAAGTTTTAACTGTTCCGAGGGCCAAAACTTTTGGAGTCAAAAAAATTTGGGTGTATTCGCATACGGAAATGCGCTTCCCGAAAGCCGTTGTGAGAATTGAAGCCAAAATCTCAGGCATGGCAGGGTAGTTTTTGAGAATATTCGAAAGAATATTCAAGAAGAAACGGTCAAAAAACCAAAACTTTGAATTTTCAGAGGGCGATAACTTCTTGAGTGACACTTTTTGTTATTGTCCGCTAATGCAGAGGAGCTTTCTACAACCCGTTATCTCCTTGAGCCCACAAAATCGGATTTGAGGGTTTAATTTGTGAGAAAAGTCGAAAAGATTCACAAAACTGTCAAAATCAAAAACTTGACTATTCCAAGACCCATATCTTTGTGCAAAAAAAATTTTCGTAGCCACTTATGCAGGGAGCAGGGAAGCTTTTCAAAATGGCTCAATTCATTGAATCCAAAAACTCATATTTGAGGGGTAATTTTCGAAAAAATGAAATAAATCTAAAATATGAGTTAAATATTCAGACACACTTTCTCGAAGGCAGAGGGTTCAAGTAAATAAATAGACTCTAGGGGACTACAAACGCACACAAAGCGGTCTTTCACTTGATACCCTTTTTTGAAATCAGGAGAAGTTTCTGAGAAAACTAAAATTTTTGCACAAAATGAAAAAATTTCCAAAACGGAAAAGAAATTTCAACTAACCAATTGGTAAACGTACAACCAACTTGAAAAATGCGGAGGGGAGTGCTAAAACTATGTTTATCTTGAAACGGCCAAAAATTAGGTCATAAGGCCGATGTAACGAAAAAATTCAAAAAAGAAAACTCGAAATTAAGGTAAGTAAAATTACAATATGTAGGCTTAAATCAAACACAAAAACACAATATTGAAGAAATGCGCTCAGAAAAAAAAAACAATTTCAAGATGTGACAACTAAGACGACAAATAATTGGCCGACAATTTAATTTGAAGGAATCTTTCCCGTTTGAAAAAAAAAAACAATTATAGGTTAGATTCGACCGCACGACCTATGCCGGCCCAGGCATATTCGTTTCCTCCAGGCTAAGTTGGCCGCCAAGGCTGAGAAATTTGAATGCATTATGAAACAAGGTAGAGATGAGTCCAGTGGACAAATTTGTTTACAGGAAAAAAAACGTCTAGTACCCGGTTGCAAAGCCCTTGCTTATCGCAAGGTTCATTATGATATGAAGAGATGAGCTACTCAAGATCCTGGATTGATGAACGTGAGAACAAACAGCCAAGTTTTGAATTAGATCGATATATTGAGCAACGAAAAACAAGAATGAGATTCACGCCACAAAACAGCAATAGTGGAACAGAACCAGTACCGAACAGGTAAGTCAAGTTCTGAAGAAAACTATGATGAGTAGAGAAGTTAGTGAATGTTTACCTGTTCGTTTTCCATCTAAACACATGCAGGCAATTCAGATAGAGGCCAACTTAAAATTAGCGAAGAAAGGTCAAAGCTATGCGCATGTATGACTCATCTTTTTAAGATAGATTCGAATGCAAAAATTTCATGCTTCAAACTTAGTAAGTTTCAGAAACTACTGACGCAGCAAGCAAACCTTTCATTCACACCAAAAAAAGGAAACACATAAAAAACCCATTAATACCAAGAAAACTCTTACCTGTGCCTCAAACTCGAGGTTTCCAATGAATGGCATAATGAGCTTCGATATGTACACTTTCTCAGATACTGCTACCAAGATAATATTCACCAGGCATCGCACTTTGTTCTCTCTGGCTCCACCCGATCGCACGTTGCTGCCGGACTGTCGTCGAGCCGAAGTTTACTCTTCAAGTCGTGAATCTGAATAGCACAGATACTTCGTTCCAGCCGCAGAAGGTACACGTATAAGTATAGCAGAGATGGCAAATCGACAGGGGGATTGTAGTTGATAGGCGCCGCCTGTTTTGATTTCGAAGGTAAGCCATTGCAAACTTCTTGTAGATATTGGTTGTCGAATATCTGCAGCTCGTAATTTTGTGATGAATTGTCAGCAAACTCCGTGAAGTCAAAAAACGAGAAGCTCTTGTCGTTAAGCACTATAACCCTGCTTTGTTCTCCACTGTTGTAGAACCTGTGAATTAGATATATAACCTTAATGGAAAACAGGCAATTTTTTCAGACGCAAATATATTGCGACATTCTTCGTTTAGCATTCTTCTATAATGGTAATCAACTTCTGTAGTGGTGCAGCAGTCGCAGCCAATTTAACCTAACTTAAAATTCAAGGCTAGAATATTATGGTAGATGTAGCATTTAACTATCAAAACTAATGGAAAAATTTAATTTTCAAATTACACTTGATCTATAAATTAAATTTATTTTTTAAGTTATAGTTCTACCTGGAGGCTAGGTCGTTTTCTGCACGCATTTCACAAATGAGCGCCTCTCTCATTTTCAAGAGGAGCTCGTGTAGCTTTGACTTGACCAGCATCAGTGGTCCCTTGTACCTGTATCTGTCACTTAAACCCTCTTTGGTCTTTTTCCGGTCAATTGTTCTGAAGTCGAAGGGCAAGATAGAAGCATAGTCTGCATTCGTCTCCGCGAAAGTCTTCAGTTGACTGTCTAAATATAAATCAATAACGACGGTAAAAGTATGATAGTTGGGTCACTGATCTAAACATGAGTCACTAAAGACATTTTTATGGACCTTAATGCGTTCGGCGAACGGTAAGTAACAAAGAGTAATAACGTTTTTGGAACATTTCACTTTAATAGTTGAATCCGTTTTTAGACCCAACTGTCAGACTTATATCACTTGCTTGCAAACGGTTGCGGAAAAATCTAGAAAATCCACACCGCTTGCTTACCACTGATGAAAACAAGAAACTCTACTGGCAGAAAAACACTTTTAATCATTGATTTGCTATACACGAAAAAAAATACTTGATTACTCGTAGAAAGTGTACTGTTTACTCACCTATATCCATATACCGAAAGTCGTCGTTTCTCGACACAAAATCCGACATGCTAATGATTGACCGAGCAGGTCTCTGAAACAAAACCGAAATGATTAAACTTCCATTTTTTGTTTTGTTCAAAGAATTTAGTTGGCATTCTGAGCAGCAACAAAAATAGAACGTAACAAACAGATAATTTGACAAAGATGCTAAGTGGAAGCGGAGCTTCGCACACCTTTCAGTACCCCCACAAACATAGGATTGTAAGCAGGCGGTAAGATAATAAGACGGAAGCCAATAAGTCAATAAAAAAAATTGCAAGCCCAAAAAAACTATATCTACAAAAATTTGATTTGTTTCACTCAAATCAGTTTCAATTTGAGGAAAACATGTCTAGTAACGCAGACACCAGTATTGAACGAGCATTGAGAAAAACTTATCGAACTAACTGACAACTTTGGCAACTTAGCGGACAATATTGGTCAAAGAGAATTGTTAACAATAAAACTTCAAGCTATAAAATTCTGAAACCTCCCCTCTGAAATCACAAAAGGATTAACATCTTTATCTTTCAACTATCGCAATATTAGGTAATTAAGCCTTTATAGAAGACAAAGTTGCACTTCGCATACACAAGCAAATATGACCGATAACGCTACTGGGAAAAACTGAACGGGTAAAACTTTGAGTCTACAAATTTTCCTAAGTGACGCTCGCCAGTTATGAGCTTACATAATTGCTAAGTGACGCAAGCCAATTATGAGGCACTATCAGAAAGGATATTAACAATAATTGTTAACAATAAAATTGTTAACAATAAAATTTCAAGCTATAAAATTCTGAAACCTCCCCTCTGAAATCACAAAAGGATTAATATCTTTATCTTTCAACTATCGCAATATTAGGTAATTAAGCCTTTATAGAAGACAAAGTTGCACTTCGCATACACAAGCAAATATGACCGATAACGCTACTGGGAAAAACTGAACGAGTAAAACTTGGAGTCTACAAAATTTCTTAAGTGACGCTCGCCAATTATGAGGCACTATCAGTACCGGTCAATTTGAAAAAAAACCAACTTATATGCCTCAATTTATAAAGCGGAGGCATTTTAACTATTATTCAAAAAATTTCAAAACATCCGACCCTGCCGAGGTTCGAACCCTCTTATTTTGACATGGGTCTCCTTCCCTATCTCTACGCTACAGATCCGTGATACCTTGAAAATAAAGTGCTATTTGTAATATAACAGTCTCTGCTAATATCCTTAGCATTGGCTGTACTTAAAAGCTGGTTATTGATCAAAATGAACACATTTCGTCGCAACAACATTTGCGACTTAGGTTGCAAAAAAAGAAAGTTCGTACTATAACACATTGCTTAGTAAAAGTAAAGATTTTGGAATTCGCCCAAAGACCTAGCCTTTCTCTTACAAAAATTAAGGAGTAGCCGTTCCGCCGGAAAAATTCGCGCAACCGCTTCTTTCGATAAAAATTTCATGTCAGATTTGATAGGGTAGTTTCTAAGAAAATTCAAAAATTTGCTAAAAAACGGTCAAAATTCAAAAACGGTCCGAAATCCGTATTTTTTTTCTGCTAAAAGCAGGCCTTGGCAGTTAAAGTAAAGAAAATTCCTAAATAATTGCCACAATAATTTAAGAGTAAAGTAAAAAAAACTCCCATAAACTGTCCAATTTTCAAACCTTTCACTTGTGTGAAAGTCATAACATTTTTACTAAAAAAAAACTGGGCGTAGCAAATTATAAGGGCAAGCTTCCAAAAACCTGTTGGGTCGATTAAACAGAAGATATCAGATTTGTCATTTCCGAGAATCAGTAGGATTTCACGCAACCTGTATTTTCGATTGGACCTAAAAATCATAATTTGGCGGGTAATTCTCGAGAACAGGCAAAAAGTTTCAAAAAATGGTCAAAAAATCAAAAATCCGAGGGCCATAACATTTTGTTTCAAAAAAATTCGGGTTTAATCGCGTGAGCAAAGGAGCTTCCCACAGATCGTTCTTTGGAATGACCCCAAAATCTCAGATCCGAGAGCGTATTTTTTGGTAAAATTTATAAAATTTCGAAAAAAAACGCTCAAAAAGTTTTAGCAGTTCACATTATTTTTTTTCCAAAGCTCTTACTGAAACCAAAAAAATTCATCAGATTACCTGATCTTTGAGGTCTGCAATCTGGAAGGCACTAGTTTCGCTGTCTGAGATCAATTTGCCTAAAGTGTGCAGCTTCTCCAGAGCAGCAAATGTGAAATAGCACCATGCATTGATCGACTCCAAGTTGTCCAAGATTTTCTTCAGTTTTATATCACTACTAACAGCCAATGATAAGGAACTCTCCTCGGAACAACTACCTAAAAGTATTTATGAATATAATTTATCTAAGCGAAGACTGAATCTTACTCCGGCTAGTAATTAACCTGAAAGAGAAGCACTTCTGATTCAGAGATCAATTGAAAGCGAACTTCTCGATAAATAATTAAGAACACTATGAAAAAGGCTCCACTTAATAATTTTTTCTGCTCGAAACTCATAAAAAAGATTTGCTTTAAGTGCTATAGCTGACCAACCCTGAAGGTTTTAGGCCAAGCCATTTAAAATTTTCTGTGTACATCTTGTTCGCTTCACAAATTTCATTATGAAAAAGCACTGTTTTAATGCAGATACTAAAGAGCATACCATCGTAGAATATTTTGCTGTTTAACATAGTTCTCGCCTCCTCACTTCTGTGCAAGAAGTTCAGATCCATCCACGATATACTGCTGCTGTACAATCTACTCAAGTCATGGTAGAAGTGGTCCAACTTATGAGTGATTTCGAAGTAAGCCTTCTTGATCTCCTCGATTTTACAGCTGAGCAGCTTCGGACATGGCACTTCGTTCATTCTGCTCTCGTTCGAACTGCAATATACAAGCTGAAATTTAACAGATACGCTAATTTTAGTCCTCCATAGACAAAAACCCTTTCCACTCCCACCCCAAATTTTAACTTTAGTTTGAGAAAACCAAAAAAAGTAATCCACATGCTTTGAAACTTTGCATAGTAAACAATTCAATTATCTTTTTTAAACCATATAAATGGTAACATTCACACATTTGGCCAGCAAATCGTGATATTATAGCAAACTGACAGTTGGAAAAGAGTAATGAACGCAAGAAAACTGAAAAAAAAAATACTTGTTTTTTCAAAAACCTTCAAATTTTGAATTTCGAAGAAAAAATAGATTGCCTTAGAGCTCTTTGAATTTGTAGAACAATTTATGACCGACACTTTTTGTTAAAATTGATCTAATTTGAGAAAACTGGATCAATAGGTAAAACTTTTATTTCGCTGGAAATCTGACAATTAATTTCCATTTTCGAAATTAGAAGTCGATCACGTTTTTCGTGACTTTTACAATTTTGATGTTCGATAGTGGAGTTTGCCTTCCTTTTAACAATGGAAATGCACTGAGCTTAAAAAGAAATCACAAGTCAAACCGCGAAAAATCAAAATTGAGCGTGAACAATTTTTAGACTTTTTCCTGAAAAAAAAAATCAGCATGACCTTTATAAGAGCACTCACTACGTTCATCATTTTGAACACTGTGAGGACACGCAGAAAATTTTTGAATAACTGGGAAGGAAAAACATTTGTACGCACTTAAGGAAAACGTTTTCAGATATGGTCAAAATTACTGTTGCAAACCACATATGAACACAACAAGAATCAAATCACCGAAACTTGAACATCATGAAGTATTTTTAAGATACACCACAACCATTCAACGCTCTTTCAAAACCAATGTAGGTTCACGGATATGTTACATATACAAACCTGAAAATTGAATCGAACTCATGTTCAGCGCCAAGAACATGAAGTAATTTGCCATAA